CTGAGAGGTGAACAGAAAAGAATTTTATATAGTTAGTGATATTTTTAGTAATATTTTTTTATTTTTAGCTCATCGTATTATAATTTTTCAAGAAGGTAGCTTATCTGAATTTATTTGTAGAAGAATACTTATCGTCTTCATAATGAGTACTTTTTTATAAGATTATCTTTGGAAATTATAATTACACTAGAGGTTGTCGCTCATATATTTTTTTTTCAAGAAGCTGATGTTGTCAAATTGATGATGCAGGTGCTTAAATTCTTTTTATTTCATTTTGTTCACATTCATAGTTGATACTCTGGAAGGTATTAAATTTTGAAGGAAAAAATACATGAAAGTCGACGCTCTATCAAAGGATCAAGCTACCATTTAATGACCAATTATGTTCGTAATGTCGCTTTGACTCTCACGGATAAACTGATCTGGCGTCCTGCTAAAGGTGATGATCACGTGTACGATTACATAATACAGCAATCGCCTTCTGCTCGTGCTCGATGTAGAAAATGCTCCCAATACATTAATAAAGGTGAGTTTCGTTGTGGTATTCCTGTAAGGTTTGCCTCTGGTGAGTACGGTTGGATTTCAGCGTGGCAACATTTAGGGTGCACACGGATCGAAGAAAGCGAAGATTTAACTAAAGTAATGCATGGATTTGCACAGTTAGAGGAAATGCAAAGGAAGGAAATAATTTCAGAAGTGACCTCCTCCGAAACTCCTGAGCATTTAAGGACTCTCGACCCAGATGATTTGATCAAACGCCGAAAGCTTGAAGAAGCAGAGACTCCTAAGGAAGTGCTGAGAACCTTACTTCCCTATCAAAGGGAGGGTCTAAATTGGATGCTGGCTCAGGAGTGCTCTGATGCTAAAGGGGGTATTCTGGCAGACGAAATGGGTATGGGCAAGACAATTCAAATGATCTCACTTCTGGTTGCCCATCCTGTTCCTGGACCCACACTCATCGTTTGCCCTGTGAGCTCCATGTTACAGTGGGAATCGGAAATAAAAGAGCATGTTGTGTCAGGCAAGCTAGCAGTTCTAGTGGCTTATAAGACATCAAAATTAAAAAGAGAAGATATGGAAAATGCAGATGTGGTCCTTACAACATATCCAATGATTGAGCAAGCCTGGCGCTTGCTTGTAAACCGTACTAAAGTTCCATGCCCATACTGTGGCCAACTTTTTCTTGTCCGACAGCTCATCGTTCACAACAAATATTTTTGCTCGCCTAATGCCAAGAAAACAATGAAGCAGCTAAAGCGTGAAAAGGGGAAGGGCGATATGCCAAACAGCAGAAAGTTTCAATCTGAAGCAACGGTCAAGAAGGGTCTCCGAACATTGCACATTGAGGTAGACAATACAGATGAATCTGATATAAGGCCCATGCAGGACCAAAATGCATCCGAAAGTAAGTCGAAATCTATCATGGGACCAATGGGAATGTACCAAGAACTTATGCGAGAAGCAGGTAGAACCGTGCGCAGCCGGTGGGAACGTGCACGAACGCACTCCAGTGGCAGTGAAAGCGATAGTTCCGACGACAGTGCAGAGACGTCTTCGATGGAGTTTGACAGTGCTGCGCAACAGGCTGAGGAGGAGGAAGCCGCACATCGCAAGGCAGAGGAACTTGCTATACTTGACTCGTTTCGTTGCGATAAATGCAATTTTCAGTTCCTGCGCTATCCCTTTTGCCCAAAGACTGGTCAATACCACATCATTCCAGAGGCGTTAAGGAAGATGACCGAATTGGACACTGGGGGTGACAAAGTTGATCTGAATGCTTCTATCTTTCACTCTGTGAGCTGGTCCCGCATCGTTTTGGATGAAGCCCACAGGATTAAGGGACGAACCACAAGTACCGCACGGTCCGCATTTGCCTTGGAGGCAGAGTACCGCTGGTGTCTCACTGGAACACCGTTGCAAAACCGTGTTGGGGATGTTTATAGTCTTCTTCGGTTTCTTCGTATTAAGCCATACTCCCACTATTTCTGTGGTGTTGATGGCTGCTCTTGCTCCTCTCTTTCACATCCCTTTTCAGGAACATCGCTACACGAGTGCATTTTTTGTGGTCACGGGCCTGTTCAGCACTATTCATACTTTAATCGATTAATTCTAAACCCGATCAATCGCTATGGTTACATCGGTGAGGGGCGCAAGGGCATGATGTTATTGAGTAACGATGTCTTTTCTAAGGTAATGCTTCGTCGAACGAAAATGGAGCGGATAGAAGATCTGCACCTTCCGCCTTTGGAAATCAAAATTAGACGCATCCAGCTCTCAAACGAGGAGCGAAACTTTTATGAGGCGCTGTACAAAAAATGCACGGCTGAGTTTGACACTTTCGTAAGCAAGGGAACAATTTTGCACAACTACGCTCACATTTTCCAACTCCTGAGCCGACTGCGCCAAGCGCTTGACCACCCGTTGCTTGTTATGCGGGGTATGAATCTTGGCCCTGTAGTCTACGAAAAGGGACTTTGCGGGATTTGTGGTGAAGGTGTTGAAGGTGAAAGAACCTTCAAGGCCCATCCATGTCGGCACACTTTTCATTGTCTATGTCTTAGTCAGTTTCTGGAGAGTGCGCCAGACAGGGATTATCATTGCCCTATTTGCTTTGTTCGTATTAATGTTGACCTTAGACAATTACGTGTAGAGTGGGATGAAGACGAAGACGCCGGTGCTGCTGCCCTGCCTCCCGAATTGCAGGAAATGGATGATGAAGAGTGCGAGCAATGTGATGGGACCGGAGCGAGTGAAAATGGGGAGGATGAGACCAGGGCGGGGACAACTGACGGAAATATGGCCAAAAAATTTCAAAATGCCGGTCGTGGTAAAGCGAGTACTAATTCATCTTCTGTGAAGTCAACCAAAAAGGACGATCGAAGCATCCTCTCTCGGCTTGATCCCAACAAACCTCTGCACGGCACCAAACTCGATGCGATCACAAATTACATTGAACAAATCCCAACAGATGAAAAGATTATTGTGTTCTCTCAGCTTGGCGATATGCTGGATCTCACGCAGTATTGGCTGCAGAAGCGCTTTGTAAAGTCCGTAAAACTGTGTGGTAGTCTGACACTTTCACAGAGGCAAGCGGTATTACAGGCATTTTTACATGATCCTACTGTGCGTGTCATTCTAATATCTCTCAAAGCCGGTGGGGAGGGGCTCAATCTTCAGATTGCCAACCATGTCGTTCTGATTGATCCGTGGTGGAATCCGGCTGTGGAGATGCAAGCTGTGCAACGAGCACATCGGATAGGGCAAACAAAACCAGTGGACGCTGTGCGGTTTGTTACAGAGAACTCGATAGAGGAACGCATGGTAGAACTCCAGAACAAGAAGATGCTTGTTTTTGAAGGAACTATTGACGGCAAAATGCAATCCCTTAACAAGCTATCTGAGGAAGATTTACAATTCCTTTTTACGCGTTAAAAGTTATTTAAGGAGCCTTTTTATTCAACGTGTAATTATTATGGCCTATAGAATCTTTGTGTCTTTGAGCTTTCTTTTCCTATCTCTTCCCCCCTTTCCCACCCTCCTATTCATGTGAGTTGGTATTGCATTTCCAAAAGTGTAAATTAGTAGTAAAAACGGAATTAACTGATAATAACGATCTCCACTGACATCACATACTATATCTGAACACTCCTTCAACGTTTATTTTTTTTTGCCCCTTTATCTATCTTACTTCTTTCGATTTCAATGCGTGAGTGTACATAATAGACCAAAAAACTATTTATCTTTTTAAATTTCAAGATATAGTATATTAATACTCACTACAACTATCGCTCACTTGCCGCGAGTTATACAGAGGGAAGAAGTGTTTTGAAAAAAAACAATAGGCTCACATATCTTCTTAATCAACCTATTTTTAATTAGCATTGTTATTCCTTTTCGAAGATTAAGTTACCAATTCCACAAGGGTAATACGCAGTTGCTAACATGGGTGTTCCGCTTTCAAAGCCTGTGCTTACCCGCATTCAGGAACGCTACGGTAATGATGTGTTCCGCTGCGGCTCTTGCTGCGTGAATGGCTACCGGGAGAGCATGGAAGATGCGCACCTTGTCTATCTGCAGCCCAATTGGGGTTTTTTCGGCGTCTTTGACGGCCACGTAAATGATGAGTGCTCAACATATCTGGAAAATGCTTGGCGTGCCGTGATGGAGCGAGAGAAGGATAATATTCCTCTCAGCGACGATCGCTTGCGTGAGATCACACTCCAAATTGATCAAGAGTGGATGAATTCAGGGCGTGAGGGTGGTAGCACGGGTACTTTCTTTATAGGAATCAAAGAGGGCAATGCAATACATCTTCAGGTTGGTAATGTTGGCGACTCGCGTGTTGTTGCCTGCATCAATGGGGTGTGCAATCCCCTTACGGAAGATCACAAGCCGAATAACGAGACGGAGCGGCAGCGCATTGAGGAGTGCGGCGGGCGTGTGGAAAATAATCGCGTGGACTCCTGCCTAGCCGTCAGCCGTGCGTTTGGTGATCGCGACTACAAGACAAACTCCGCCGGCCAGCTTAAGCAGAAGGTCATTGCACTTGCTGACGTTACCCATGCTGATGTAACATATAATAGCGATGACTTTGTGATCTTGTGCTGTGATGGCGTCTTTGAGGGGGAGTTCACGAACGAGGATGTGATTTGTTTCATTAAGGATCAGCTGAGGACGACCAATGACCTATGCGAGGTTGCCGCGAGGGTCTGTGAGGAGGCTATTGAACGAGGCAGTCGCGATAATATTTCTTGTGTTATTGTGCAATTTAAGAATGGACAGGATTACAACAAGGACCCCCATCATACTATAGTACCAGGACCGTTTTCAGTCCCCCGGCAAGCAAACTTCCGCAAGGCGTACGAGAATATGGCGGAGAAAGGTATGACCACTGTCGGTGCTTTGCTAGAGAAACGTTATGATGCAATCCGGGGCATGACTAACCCCCCAACCGAGCTAGAGGAGGAGCTGAGCGTCTTCGGCGAAGGTCCCCCGCTAAACCTAATGGGAGCAGCGCGCACGGAGTGGTTTTGCAATCTTTACCAGCATCTGTGTGAAACCTATAATTCATCACCACAATCAGATATGGACCGCATCCAATTCATCCAGCAGCAAGTAGGAGTACCACTGACTACACTGCTTTCGATGATGGGTGATGCTTCGATACCTTGAGCAGGAATAAGAAATGGAATGTAAAGGAGAGGCTAAACACAGTATGGACAATGTTGGGGATGCAAGTAAAATAAAATAGTTTTTCCTTATATATAATACGTGCATACCGCATCCTCTTATTCATCTGTTAGGGGAACACCTTCTTGCAATTTTTGTGTCGCTTGACTTCTAACTTATTTATTTATTTATTTGTTGATTACTAAAGAAATATGGTGCATAAACTAATGATTGAGGCAGTCAAAAAATAAAGAAATGTTTAATCATAAAAATTGTTAGTAGCTGCTGTGGTGTGCTATTGTGGCATTGTGGCAGGCGCAGTTTTGGCTTACTTGCTCGTTCGGTTACAAATTAGGCAAGTAAAATGAGGACGTTAAGGAGAGTGGGACTATTAGGGAGGAAAAAATAACAATCGCAGATACGTAAATAATTGAGTACTAGCGTTTTTCAAAGTGTAAATACTCTATCAATCATTCCATCGATATTTTACCAAAGTCTCGACATTTATCTAAGCTACAATACATTTCTGGCAAAGCAACCAACTATTTGTGATGATACCTTATGTTCCCTCTTTGTTTTCAGTTACTTAATTCTAATAAATCGGTATATATATATATGCATAGATATACTAACACGAGCTAAGTGTATTTGTACGTAAAGGATGGAATTCCGCAAGAACTAAGATAAGAGTGTAGAGTAATACGAAATGGAAAAATAATGGGGCAGAATCAGGAAACATGTAGACATTGAACTGGGAAAAATGAGCGGGATTTTCTAAATGAAAGGCGCATATTTTGTCTTCACTTTCAATTATAAATTTTAGAAGTTTACGTGATTGCACATGATAGGAGTGAGACAAAACTGTACAAAGAGCACTGATATGTATATCTATATATATATATATATATATATATATATATATATANATATATA